AGAAAGAAAGAAAGAAAGAAAGAAAGAAAGAAAGAAAGAAAGAAAGACTGTGCTGCACAGTACTGACAGAAAGCAAAGTCTGTGTCTGTCTTGGCCACTCAAGCTGGATGATTAAAACATGGTTAGGAGAGAGGGGAAGAAAGACGTAAGACATTCCTGTTTGAAGTACAACCCTGTAGGGTTTCAAAGCCAGTTTTTCCAGAAGCCTAACTGATTGGCACAGTCTCAAACCTCTGTAGGTGATTTATAGTCCCCGGCTAAATTTGTAGCGCTGCCAAGAAGCTGTGTGTGCAAATCTTAGCATTCACAGAAATGGGCTGGGTGTCCTTCCGTGTGCGGGGCTCAGAGAGACTACCCTGCCACTAAAAAGGCTCCTTGTTCCTCTGCACCAAAGGTGGGAGGCCCTGGATGGTCACTCCTCCCCTTTCACTGGAAATCCCAAGTCACTTCATCCCCATGGGGCAGTGGATGCCCTTGCAAGAGGGATTTTTGCCGTAGTTACTCTGTCCCTTACATATGTAGCTTCCCTGTAGGGATCCCAGCAATGCTGCCAATTCAAAACCAGGGTGTCTAAAACCCAGAAACAGCTCTCTCCCTTTTAAGCTGAAGGAGAGACCTTTAGGGAAGAGCCTGCTGGACAGGTTGCCTACCCAGGCTGCCTGTTCTTTTTGCAGAGGTTGGCACCAGGTCTCTAGCACTCTCCATCTTCCCGCTCTCCTGCTGAACCCAGGAGTTCATCTCCACCCGCGCACTGGGCATCTGATTTCAAGGCCTCATGCTGGTACTGCACACCGTCTTACCAAAAGGCTCCTTAATCTGTTGTAGTCAGGGTTTTGAAAAATATTTACTTCATATGTGTATGAGTGCTCTGCCTGCCTGAAGGTGTGTGTGTATGTGTGTGTGTGTGTATGTATGTATGTATGTATGTATGTATGTATGTATGTATGTATGTGCATTGCATGCATGCGTACTGCACAGAGAGGCCAGAATAATCAAGAGGCACCAGATCCCCGAGAACTGGAATTACCGATGGTGGTGAGCCATCGGGTGGGTGCTAGAAACTGAACTCCAGTCCACTGCAAGAACGAGTACTCTTAACCACTGAGCCATCTCATTAGCCCTTTATTTTTTTGCATCTCTTCTCTGCAGCGGGTCCCCAATCATCACACACCATCCATGAATTTAAGTGGCAATGAGATATTTTTCTGTTGTGTGAAACATCTCAGCAAACAAACTCCCTGTAGTACTTAGCCTATGTGCCCTCAACACAGGCAGGAGCTCTGTCTACTGTATTGACAAGAAGCTGTCAAGCAGTTACCAGACACGGGAATCTGTGCCCTGACCAGTGTCCATATGGGTCATCCCCCCGACACACAATACTGGGCCCTACTCAGGGGTCCCTGGGATGTCACTGTTTCAGGTTCAGGCTTAAGATAATCTGTCATCTAGACCAAAGACTGAGAGCATGGGTGGACAAGAGAAAGGAGGAAGATTGGCACATTCACAGACAATCACTGAGAGCCTGGAGGAAAGGATGCATGGGAAGCTGGGAGGTGAGGAGAGACCAGTTCACCAGAGAAGGCTTAGAGCAATGGAGTGCAAGTGTCACCACGGAGCCCCGAAGAACGGGCAGCCCTGTCACTGCCAGGTTCACTATTCATGCACATCCCTCCAACGGCCTGGAAAATCTGTTAGAAAGAGGTAACGGTGGACAAGCAAAGTACGGGCAGGCCCCTGCGTGGCTGCATGGGGGTGAGGAAGAGCAGCGGGTAGAAAGGAGGGGCAAGTGGGATGAGTAGGTGACTGGGAATTCCGTACTGAGGTCCAGAAAGGAAGCTCCTCATTGGCCTGCTTAGCCTGAGTTCATGCTTGCCAGGCAAGCTGCTCAGTACAGGCAGGGGAGCCAGGAGGTCGTGTCAGCCTTGGAACAGCAGCTTCATACTAGATGGGCCCCATTCCTGAGCAGTCTAAGCCTAGGGGATGGCATATCTCTTCTGGATGCATCTGGTCACGAGGCTGATTATGGTATCTAGTTCTCAACAAGCCCGGAAAGCGCCACCCGGTGACCCCCTCGGACCGAGACCCTGACCCCTCCAG